AGCACTTAACCATAGTCTGACAGGAAACTTAGCAAAACCCTAAATGATTTGGGAAAGCAGGGAAAGCAGGCAAAGCTGCAGAGCAAGCTAATGGTATCTCAGAAGATTTCATTTCTGGAATGATTCTGAGTGTGGTGCGCCAGCAGCTCACTGATTTGTGATAGGGGAAGTGTCTGGCCTTTGACATGTGGATCCTCTTAAGTAGAATTGGTTTTCATCTTCTGCACATGGTGGATTTCATAGATAGGTGAGGCTAAGTTTTCTTTAAAAAACTTGACTTTAAATTCAGATGTAACTAACCATTGACCTCTCTGCTTCACCAGGCACCATAAGCAGTACTTTCACGTTCAGTACTTGACCTCAGTCTAGGTGTGATGAATAGTTCAGATTTCCATATTAATCTAGGGAAAATAACGTTTTCTTCAGAAAGGTGACAGTTTTTTGGACTTAATTATTAGTACTTCAACTCTGATCTCAATAGTAATGAGTCATTGTTTAACAGTACGTGACTGTACATTTGTTTTCCAGCTGAAAATGTGTATCTAAGATGCGAGCTCGACATAGCAGAAGGCCTTGGCGTGCCTGCCCTGCCCTTGTGCTTGGACCATGAAGGTTTTAGGAGAGCGACTCTTCTGGGTGTCGCTTCCACTGCTTCACCTGACCACCAGCGCTGCAGACCATGGAGAAGTAGCAAGGCACGCGATCAAGTTACACTGGGGAAGGGGCGCGGCTGTCGCTCAGAGGCGGCAGTGGGTCCTGGGCAGCTGCAGGAAGCTCTCCGGGCTTCTTCGCCAGAAGGATGTGGTTCTGAACAAACTGAAAGATGCAATCAGAGCTGTGGAAGAAGAGGCTGGCCTGTTGGATGGAGAGAAGCTGTTTCGGGTGCACACATTTGAGATTTTCCAGAAGGAGCTAAATGAGAGTGAAAACTCGGTCTTCCAGGCTATCCACGGGCTTCAGAGAGCCCTGCAGGGAGACTACAGGGACGTGGTGAACATGAAGGAGAGCAGCCGGCAGCGGCTGGAGGCCCTGAGAGAGGCTGCCATCAAGGTGAGCCCCAGCCTGCCAGGGGGACACGTGCAGAGC